CCGCGGGCATGTAACAAGGTTGTCCCGGGGCCCTGAGGTGGACCAAGCTGGGCGGTGGGTCGGTCTTATTTTACGCTAACGCTACAGTTTTCTTCTGCTCTGTATAAGCCTGGGGATAAAAGCCCGGGGCTTTACCGGAGACACCTGTTGGTAAACTGAGGAAAGAGCAGTCCTCTTCCACCGGGATGGAAGTTTTCTCTGTGGAAAGAAGTACTCTCTTGGTGTGCGCAAGAATATCAAGGAGGGGTGACCGAAATAGACAGGGGCAAGGGAAGTTTTGTTTGTGTCAAGATATTAAAGACACTTTTATTAGTTTTTATTTACTAACATTCATTTTTTAAAGAGAAATGCAAAGTTCTGTAGGTACAACTTGACAGTATAAGAAGAATACATTAACTTCTAAGTTTGTTATTGCTTCTTATTTCAGTCAATCTGTCAGAGTAGCTGCAGGAATCTGTATTTATTTGATTGTGAAGACGAGCTCTCATGCATGCATATGGAACTAGTGCAGATATCAAGTAATCTGTTCTAAAAAAACTTTACTGTGTTGACAATTAAAAAAAAGTTGGGAATGTCTTTAGCTAAAATTTAGTGTTAATCTTTTTCCCTTCTTTCATTCAAAATTTTAAACTCCTGATTGAAGACAGAAATCTGGAGGAGGTCTGGAAGAACTTAAATACATTGGACTTTGACAAAAAAGACTCTATAAAAGAAAGACAAAAAGATTACTGCCTCTGCTCAGGGAAGGACAGGGAAAATATGGCTACTGTTCCACCTTGTCAGCCAGTCAGCATGTGTACCCAGTCTTAACAAGGTCAAACTGAGCAAGAAACATATTTTTGTAAAGGGAGGACGAATGCTTGTTGGACAATAACATGAACTCATGGTTTCTGTCTGCTAGTTCTGCTTGTTCATGCCACGTCTTTTTTCTTTTTTTCCCCAGGATTATTATCCAAGAGGATTTAGACCTTGCTTAAAAAGGTATGAATTTTATTTTGGCTGTATTCTTTCTTTTGTGGACCACTGAAATAAACTAAGCTTATTTGTTTTGCCAGCTGCTCCATTATATCAGATATTTTTCTGGAAGAGAGAAAAACAAGTGAAAACCTTTTTTTTTTCCTTCCTTGTATTGAGTTGATAACTTTACCTATTTGTACATACTGTTAGTGGTATAAACTAGTGTAGGGGATGTCACCTCCCTCCCCCAATATTCTTTATTGCTAGACTTTTCATAGCTTTTTATTGTTGTTCATCCTTTGCTGCGTTTTTTGTAGATCCTGGGATTTTTGATCTAGAAGAACGCTAAATGCTTAAATACCTTTGTCCGATGCATCCTCTTTGTGACATCATTATATTCCTTTTTAAGTTAAATGCAGATGTGTGATGGTTCAGGTTATATGAAGTTTTATTTTGAAGTATATTTTGCAAGATTGACTGAAGGACTTACACTGGGAAAATGCACAGGTGTTTAACTTCTTATGTTCTTGAATAATTTAATTGCAACATCTTAAAGTATTTTGTACCCCAGCAGCCTGAATTTTCTGTTCCTGAAATCTGATTTTAAAGAAATTAAAGCCCTGTTTGTTTTGTTCTTCACTGTCAGTTAGGAAAGTGTTGTATTTTCCCTGTAACTCTGTGAAATGCCCTTGTGTGATTTCCTTAGTAAACTGTTGAGACATGTACAAAACCAAGTTTCCAATGTTAAATCAGACTTTATTCTGATTAAGAATTACACACAGCACAGTGTGGGGCATGTAATTAATGCAGTAACTTTTTTTTTATAGGCTCCTTTAGCAAATAACTCTTATTTTTTCCTTTCCTGAAAACTGGTCTGGATCTTGAGATCTGCTGGGGGATATATATGCATATATATTTACTTTCTTGTGGCAAATATAATTAGATTTTAATGGTCTTCTGTTATATTATACGAGTCAGATGATAATCTAGCTACTTTAATCTAGCTAGGTCTAGATGTTTAACATCTTGGACCTGAGGACGGGAATTTTTATTTTGCTGTCCTGATGAATGAAGTAATTAAAATGAAACGCCTGTGGGATCAGGAATTCTAGGAATAGTTTGGTTTGTTTTCAGAAGGACTATGAAGACATATTGAAATACTGTGCACCTGTTTTCGGCACACAAATAGAAGAGCCAGAACAGCTTCTGAAGCAGGCACTTGAATGCTGTATCTTTCATTCTTCTCCTGTGATGTGAGTGGAAGCGTATCTGTCACATAACACAACCTCATTACTTCACTATGATGCCTGACATGATTAAGAGTGTTTGTGTCTTGGATATGTCATGTCAGAGGAAGTGCAGGGTTTTTGAATTAGAAGATGACAAGGTACAGCTTATTTAAAAAAAAAAAAAAAAATCTATATCATTTGTGGCTTTCTCCCTGCCTGTGTTTGAGATCTCAGGGGAAGAGGGCATCAGGAAATATCTCTAGATAGTTGATTGTTTTTGTGTGCTCAATATCCCTCATACGTATGATATATTGCAGGTGTATGTAGAAATATATCTTGACTTTTCTTTACGAGAACATTCGCAGTAGATACTAGACCTTGGTTTTGTATTCAAATGCTTGCTAATACCAGTCTTCTCTAATGCTTCTTGAAGATGCCTGCTGCCTGTGATGCAGTGCTTGAAGATATTGAAGATATTGTGTCAGCAGAAGATTTGAAACCAAATGATCGGCAGTTTGTAAGAAAGAATGTTTTTCCAAAAGTGCGAAAACGCAATTCACAAAAAAATATTCAGACAGATGATGATCCCCCAAGTGACAGGTAAATTCTTCCATCAGCCCTAACTTGTTGCTTTTCTTGTATCTTGTGTGCACCGTCATCTTCTAAAAATATGGTGGGAGTTCTCGTTATCTCATAATGTAAAATCTGAATACAAGATAAAAATGAGTAAAATAGTGTTTATAAAATGTAGTGGTAATGAATAAAAAATCCTAAGCAAATTTCTTGTCCTAGACAAACTTTCTGTAGAACTTGCTTATGACTGAGATACTGATTAATGGAGTAATCAGACTGGAAAAATTGTTCCTGTTACTTAAGCTTTTATGTGTAAAACATTTCTGAAAAATTGTATGCTTCACCTTAATTACCTAAATAGAAGCTGAGCTCTTCCAAATGCAGTCCTGGAGTAGCCTTTTGACATCTGGAATGAGAAATATAAACAAAATTCTGAGAATCACAAAAGGGTTGAGTTTGGAAGGGACCTCTGGACGTCATCTTGTCCAAACCTTCTGCTCAACCCCCTAGAACCAGCTGACCAGGACCATGCCTAGATAGTTTTTGAATATCTCTAAAGAGGGAGACTCCACAACCTCCATGGGCAACCTGTGCCAGTGCTTAGTCACCCTCACAGCGAAAAAGTGTTTCCTAATGTTCAGAGGGAAACTCCTGTGTTTCAGTTTGTGCCCGTTGCCTCTGATCCTGTCATTGGGTACCACTGAAAAGAGCCTGGCTCTGTCCTCTTTGTCCCCTCCTTTCAGGTTTTTATATACATTGATAAGATCCCCCTGAGCCTTCTCTTCTCCAGGCTGAACAGTCCCAGCTCTCTCAGCCTCTCCTCTTATGAGAGATGCTCCAGTCCTTTAATCATCTTCATGGCCCTTTGTTGGACTGTCTCCGGTATGTCCATATCTCTCTTGTGGGTGCATCCCATCAGGGCCCAGCGACTTATGTATGTTCAGTTTGCTGAAGTATTCCCTGACCTGATCCTCTTCCACCAAGGGTACATCTTCCTTGCTTCAGTCTTTCCACCTAGTTTCTGGAACCTGGGGATTTCCAAAGGCTGTACTTCTTGTATGTGCATCAAGTGATGTATGTATGTACAAGTGATATAGTGAAACTTCTTTTGAACTTACTGTTTTATTTCCGTGGAAATAGTATGCAATAACTACGGAACGTATCTTTGCATTTTTCCTTCTTGTGATTCCCATAAGAACAGAAACAACTTTCTGCTGCAGTGGAATTGATTAAACTATAGGTAAACTCAGTTATTGATTCTAGTTTCTACTGCAGTTCAGAGATCTGGATTTTGTGGTGTTTTTTTTTTTTTCCCCCCATTAATTTCAAGCTGGTGGATAAAATTTCACTGCATTATAAAGATGAAAGTAAAGTATGTCTGGAATGCACACAAAACTCAATTTTGTTTTTTCCTTAGTGCTCAAAAGAGATTTTTATAAGCATAACAATGCACCTTTATGTGAAGCCCCGTGAAAGTGCATTGACCCCATTCTGCCAGGAGTGTATGTACAGCTGAACTGGTGGTCTATAGATACTTCACACTAGCACTCCATTCTCCTAAGTATTTGTGTACTCTATATTATCTAACAGGCTGTATTTTAGTGTTTTGGGCCCAAGAAAGCACATTGAATGTATGTTGTTTAGACAGTAGGAAGTCTAAATACATTGTACATGTGCAACGTGTGTTGCACATGTCTACTTAGTGATCATTAATCTTCCATCAACGAATTTCTATTTCTAGCTAGGGGAAGTATCTTTAAAAAAAGAGGCATGGGGGGAGAAAAAAAAGATATGGGCAGGGCAAAGGATTGTGTTCCAGAATGTTTGTCATTTCTGTGCTAGCATCTTTAGTTCATTGGCACAGTTATCTGAGGAGTTTCAGTGAGAGTTTCCTGCAGAATTTTTTGTTGGTTCTTAAACCATTGTGTGTGCTAGCTCCATGGTGCAGATCTGCCACGCTGCGTCTGTAGCCCAGAAAGATTGGGATATGAGCTTTCAGATGTTGGTGTGGCTGGTGGCAGACTTAAGTTAAGATTTTATAAAGATGGCTTGTATGGAGGGACCTACCATCAACGGGTGCCATATTATCAAAAGGTTGCAGTTTAGCTCTAACAGTTTGTTTGCTGGCAGCCTTATTTCAGTGCAGTCACTTGAAGGTCACTTATTAAATGGCATGATAATTTTCAGAAAGTTACTTGTTTGTTGCTTTTTTTTAAACTTAACTGCAGTGTACTGAATCTCTTCTTATCCTACAGCTCTTGTACCTTCTCCATTTTTAAACTCTTTTCTTGCCACTTGTGGTGGACTGACCCTGGCCGACAACTGAGCAGGCACCCAGCCACCTGCTCTCCCCTCCTCCCCGTAGTTTGGGGGAGAGAATTGGAAGAGCAAAAGCGAGAAAACTTGTGGGTTGAGATAAAGACAGCTTAAGTGAAGGGAAGAGTAAGGAAAAAAAAAACAAGTGATGCAAAAGCAGTCACTCATCACCTCCCACAAGCAGACTGATGCCCAACCAGTCTCATAACAATGGCTAGTTTGGAAAGACCAAACCCCCAGTTTTTACTGCTGAGCATGATGTCATCTGGTATGGATCATCCTTTTGTCCAATTTGGGTCAGCTATTCTGTCTGTGTTCCCTCCAAACGTGTTGTCTATCTCCAGCCTGGTTGGAGCAGCATGGAACACAGTGGGAAACAGAAGGTTTTGGTGCTGTGCAAGCACTGTTCAGCAATAGATATAACACAGGTGTGTTATCAACACTGTTTTAGTCACAAATGCAAAACACAGCACCATGTGGGTTTCTGTGGAGAAAGTTAACTCCATGCAGCCAGACCTAATACCCACTACACAAAAATCACATAATCATGATGTTCTTCCCTAGCTGTTTTGGAGTTGTTACAGTTTGTGTTGTTTATTTTATATTTGGGGAATTACAATTAATTGAGTCTGTTCAGTGGGCTTAAAGGGGAAGCTTGTTCATCTTTTAACTTGCCTTTTTCATTCTTTTTTTACTTAACAGTATTATTCCTGGTGCTCAGAAAATCTGGATTCGTACGTGGGGGTGTTCTCACAATAATTCGGATGGTGAATATATGGCTGGACAGCTGGCTGCATATGGATACAAAATTACAGGTAACAATATCAGACAAGTTGCATAATTCATTTTTTTTGGCTGAATGTTCAGACCTGTCAAGCTGTCATCAAATGCTTTTAGTCTTAATTACCTTTTTTTAAGTCCCCCTTTGATCTCTTTATGATTTGAAGGTGAGGAAGTAGTGTTTTCCTGGGATTAAGCAGAATGATTACAAGATGAGTGCTTTCAAAATGGTTAGGTTTTCCTGACAGGCCAGCCATCTAACAGATGTCATGCAGTGCCTTTTGTGGGCATTTTGCTTGCTAAACTTAATTGAAAAGTTTTCATAAGAGTGGAAGAGAAAGATTTAATTCTGGGACAGAATCTATCTGGTTGTCTGATTGTAATTGGTGAAACCCAAGAGAGAGAGGAAGGAAGTGTGTTGTCACTTAGTGATGTGTGTGTTTGCTGCTTGAGCAGATTTGAACTACATGTGAATGATCCTTTGTTTCGGGAGGGACAATCAGTATGATGGAGGTGGGATCATATAGGATTGTATTTTGTACATTCAAAAAAGCTGAAAATGCTATTTCTCCTTTCCTTCAAATACTTTAAAATACTCCCCGTCATCTTGTTCCACCTCTCCCCAACCCTAAACAAAAAACCCTAAACTTGTGGTTGTGCTGGCCACATTTCATCTCCTTAATGCAAAACGAGTTGAAAGAAAAGCTGTGGAAAGCTGAAAACTAGATTGATGTCGTGCTTCAATGGAAAATTATTATCTAAATACTTTTGTGTAGCTTATGACTAGACTAGCCAAAATAAAAATTTAAATTTTATTCATTAATTCATGTTTTAGTGTGTCTTGCATTTAAACTTGCATCCTGCTTGTACTGAAAGACTGCGAAGTTGTCTTTCCTGATATTTTGCTAGAAGTATTTTATTCCTGATTTCACAAAATGCTTGTTTCTTTGCTTGAACATCTCATGATATCATTCAACGGTTACATCTAATTTTCCTTTTTTGCAGTTGATCTTTCTGTATTTATCTTAAGTAGAAACTAGATACTGAATTATTCAAGTACTGAACTATTTTAGGGAACCCAGGTGATTCTTTCATTAGTAGTTCAACTCTGGAGTAGGTAATGCTCTTTTCACAGACAAGTGGAATTCTGGTCCAAAAAACTGGCCCAAAAAGCTGTTTGTGTAAGACTACAAATGAGTTCTCAGTTTTGCCTTGTTATGGCTTTCTTAAATTTAACTTCTCTTTATCTTAATTTCTGTAGTGCATGGTGTTCCAGAAGCTACTTCTGGCTTGTCAAGATTTGGATGGCTGTCCTGTGCTTTTGGAATTTTATTGGGAGAAATGTAGGAAGGATGGAGTTCAGCAAAGGAAGGAACTACCTAAAATTTTTGATACCTTCGTTCATAACTTTAGAGTAGAAATGTCTACATCTAGAATCTGAAACTGAGAACTAAAAACTGAATAAAAGTTGTAGTAGCTGGGACAGGAATACCTACAGAGTAATTTTGGTAACTGTATATGAAATTGACTGCTAGTTTCTGGTCATTATTAAATTGATGTCTTGATTTAATTTATTTGTGTGTATGAATATACATATAATAAATCAAGCAAACAAACCCCAATGCTGAGGTGATAGGCAGAAATTAGTGTGGTTTTTTCTTTGTGAAATTTGGTAACTTCTTTTTAAGCTGATATATTTAAGGACCTCTGTTCAACAGAACAAAAATATTGGCTACAAATTCTGGCAAAAGTAAATTTTTACAAATCCGTCTGTTGAATGTTCTTTATAGGCTGTTAATGAAGCTGGAACTGAGTGCAAGTATTGCAAGTATGGTAGCTGTATGTGAGCATATGAGGTGGTGAAGAGGGCAACTGCCTTTCTGCTCAATGTAGTGATGCTTCTGGCGACAAGTGCGTATGAAAGTGCTCTATTACTGCTTGGATTACTGATAATGTCTCTCAGGGTTTCACACTAGGACTGATCTATTTAATGTCTTTAATGGACTTGGAAGACAGGATGTAATGTACCTTCAGCAAGTTTGTAGACTAAGCCAAACTGGGGGAAGAGGTTGATAGGCTGGAAACTCGTGCTGTGGTTCAGAGGGACCTTAACAGACTAGAAAAAGGGCTAGCAGAAACCATACGACATTTAGCAAAGGCAAATGCAAAATCCTAGGGTTGGCATAACCCCAGCTATTCGTAAAAGTGGGGGTGGGCAGACTGATTAGAAAGCAGCTTTGCAGAAGAAGATTTTGTGGTTGAGGTTAGACAAGAAGTTGAACCTGAGTCAGCAACGTCCTCTTGTAGCAAAAAAGGCAAACTGCATCCTGGGCTGTGTTAGCAAGGGTGTAGCCAGCTGCTGTGGGAAAGTGATCCTTCAGCTCTTTGTGGTACTTGTGAGACAGTGTTTGGAGTGCTGTGTCCAGTGATTCAGCTTGGGCCCAGTTTTGGGCTCCCCAGCAAAAGAGAGAGATTGATGTAGTGGAGTGAGGCCAGTGGAGGGCTACCAAGATGGTTAGGGAGCACACGGTATATGAGGAGAGACTGGGAAGACTGGGTTTCTTCAGCCTTAAGAAGGCTCATGGAAGATCCTAGTTGCAGACAGCAAGATCCAGTAGGAGGGTGCAGAGAAAATGGAGTCACTCACTTGTCAAAGGTGTGCAGTGAGACAAAAGACAATAGAGTCTTGCTCTTGAAAAAGTGGCAGTTAAGATTTTTAGCATCCAGTGCATAACTTATTGCTCATGCTGTCCATCCTTCTGTAGAGGAAATGCCAATATAGAAAGTTTCCCAACATTTCTTGAGTATCTCTTGTCAATCCCTTTTTAAGAAAGCATGTTATTTTTTTTATAGTAAGTCATCTGGGGAGTTCAGATAGAATGTCAAGAAGGGATTTAATCTCTTTTTGTTCTATACAGTGAAGTAGTTAGTAAGTATTGCTTAACATAATTCAAATTTCAAACATTCCTTGAAATTAAACTAGCATTGTTTACACCATGCAAAAAAATAACAAAAACATTTTGCAAGAGCTGATTTCTAAATCAATGCCTCTGTTGCTGGAATTTGTTAGTTTAATGTAAAACTTGTTACAAATTTGAGCAAAATATGCAAATATCCACTAAGGTGAAAGACTACCTGTTGTCACAGCATCTTTGACAACTATTACTTAAATAGAAGTGTTTTGATTAGCCTGTTTCCTACATGTTCCTAAGCTTTTGAGTCAACAACACTTATTGAAGAGATGTTGGAATAAAGTTCTGGTTCTAGGAAATAAAGTGGGACCTTTACTTGCAGTTCTTGCGCCTTTGTAAGGGAAATGGTCAAGCACTGTTTCTAGTGTCTTCTATCTAATTGAAAGATTGAAAAAAAATAGAAGGAAGAAAAGCAGCATCAGACAGACTTTTGTTGCTAGCTAGAAGTTGTAACAATGCAACCTGCCTTACAAGTTGACTTAGCTGAAACTGAACATTGATATAATGGTGTCTTCTAATTATAGAAATAAATTTTTATGACTTGTTGCAAAAATCTTATTCTGATTCTATTCCTTATCCCCATTTACTGCATAGACTCTACCCTGTTCTTGATTTGAACTCTGTTCAGGAGATGCAGAAGTCGTCTTTTTTTTTTTCTTTTTTTTTTTTTTCCTTCCTTGCCTTTCATCTGTTTCAAAAATATTCTTTCTGTACAAGCACTCTTTGTTGCTTTCAGGAGTGGCTATATCCAAAGGTGAAAACTGAGGGCTGTGCTACAATTTTTCACAGCAAAGACTATCTCTTTCTGGGGAGAGAGCGCAGTGTGAATCGGCAATATACCGATATTGCAATAACAGCAATACTGATTAAAAATCAGGAACTGCATCAGCTTAAAAAAAGGCAGAGGGAAACCAGCAGAAGAGCTGAATCTATTTTTGTACCTGCTTTTACAATGTGAAGGTAGGCAGTATTCTGAACAAATCTTGCATACCATCCTGTGGGAACACGAAGCTCCTTTGTTAGTCTGAGCCACACAGAAATGTGTGGACCAGCTGGTATCAGTGTAGGGCTGTACCATGGTACTTGTTCATGTTCTGAAAACAGTGTAGCTGATGGTGGCTTTACTGGTTCTAAAACTGGTTTTGGTTTCTTGGCAGCATGACTCGCTGTATAGTTTAGATATGCCTGCAGACCTACTAGAGTGCTCCCTTTGAGATGCACCCTGGAGGAAGAAACTCTCACTGTACAGACAAGTAATGCCTACTGTGAAAAAGAGGAAGCGGGCGAGCTGGGAGCTCTCAAATACTGTGAATCAGGTGTTTGTTTTTGGGAAGGGAATTCAGTATGTGTGCCACTTAACAGTACTTTCTCTCTGAAAAATGGAACCAAGCATGTATAGTCAGACATAGAAGGAATTGACTTCTGAGTCCAGTAGTGGTATTAGCATTTGTTGGCCTCTATAGGTTTCTGGTTCTGTGGAATGAATGGTTTTTGGCCCAGCCTTCTTGAATGCATTTGATGGATCAAGCTTGTTATTTTGTGATAATTGCTATTGTCTTGAGGCTGCTCAGGTCCAAAGCATTCCCTCCTCAGTCATTGTAAAACATGCTGGGGGCGGGAAAGACATTACTAATGACTTAAAAATACCAGAAGAATGAACAGTAACTTTTCCTTTTGTGAAGAGGAAATAAAAACTGTTATTAACAAACATTCAGCAAAAGTAAACCACTAACAGCTTATCTGCACTACATTTTTATTTATTTATTTTAGAAATAAATGCTAGCATGGAACTTTTTTCCTCCTATAGTATGGGATTCCAGAAGCAACAAGGGGTGGGATTTTTGTTGCTAATTCAGTGGGCTTGGCTTTGATTTAGCATATAGAAACTAGGTTATATTATAGATGCACAGTTTTACTTCTGCAGTTTTAGACTAGTCTTTGTTCAGGCATCCTTTTTACTATCTCGTGCAATTTGTCTGCAAGTTTGTTGGATGGAAAGATGCTGTATTTTTCATGGGTTCCTTCCTGTAGTTCTTAAAGAGCTCACTCCATTATTATGATTATGGTATTTGTTGGTGAGACTTGCCAGTTTCTGTTGAAGCTTAATGTTTATAGTCCATGTTATATGTCCTATCTGAAATGTACTGTGCAGAGAACTTACATATTTCTCTAAAGCATATGTAAAATAAGATTTTGAAATACTGTTAAAGAAATTCTTTGGTTTTTATTGCCTCTTCTACTTGTTAATTTTCTAAACGCTTGTCAGTTTTGTTTACCAGTGGATATTGCTGAGGTATCCTTAAGACTGTCTATCTGCTGAAACAGTAAATTTGGGTAGAAGAAGGAAGAAGACAAGGAAGAACAAATGTTTTGATCTACCTAGTACTTCATGTTGAAAAGAAGACAGATGTAAAAGGAAACATGCTTAGTCTTCTGTGGAAAAAGCAGATGAGGTGCTACAAACTAATACAAGACTTCAGCGTTCAAAGGCATTGCCTACTGTTATTGTGTTGCCTAACCCATTTGGCCATCCCCATACAGATACAGCAAAGTGTGCTGCAGTGTACATTTTATTCGTCCAAGTGGAAAATAAAGAAAATGACTAAGATTGTATAGGTATTGACTCTTGGTTCCTGAATCACAATTCAGAATCTGGTACTTTGTTTTAAGTGTTGTTTTAAAAGTACTTTTCTACTGCACAATAAAATTATAATAATTTTAGATTTTGATTGATTTTGTTGTCCTAAAGTAGAGATCTCTTGAACAGGTTACTGTATGCTATACATTTGTTGACATAAAATTAACTCTCTGCAGCCTGTGTAGTGGTTGATGAAATATTTTCACTAAAGTTTCTGCTGGTTTCTAGTGTATGCTTTTAGTTGCTCAGAATCAGCAGGCGGTCTTTCCATTTTTCTGTCTCTGCCCTGCTTATAGTACTTCTCTGTTGCTTCATAAGTATCATGTAAAACAAATGGTAGTGATTACTGTGTAGTTTTGGGGGTGCTATGAGCTATCCTCATTGTGAGATATTTTTAATATTCTTTTTTAAGCTAAAAGACAAATCTTTATTAGCTGCTCATTAAGTGCTTGATATTTAGCCTTATCAATCAGAGAATTCAAGTTTAGTCTTTGCTTTTAGATTTGTACTTTTCGAGTGGTTGTGATTGGAAGGCCAATTTAGAAAAAAAGATACTTTACAATATCTTTTTTGGGGGGGGGCTGGGGGCGGAGGGAGGTTTAAGTACACAAAATAACCCAAACTACTTTCCTGGTGATGAGAGCCATTTCTGTTTTCTCTGACAACACTGCAGTCATGAAACTGTCATTCTCTGTGAAGCAGCTAAGCAATGGAGAAAAGTGAACCGAGGTGTAAATCCTGTGGTGTTTTGTACCCTTGCTGAAGAATTCCCCCGTTACCTATAATTTGTAGAATCACAATGCTGTATGATTTTTGCTAACCTTACACACCTGCATAACTACTCCTGCAACAGATTTCTTTTTCAGATTCAAACTGATTGATAATCTGGATGTAAAAGCTTTTGGTTGTTGATACTGAGAGAGGCAGTAAAGTAACTTATTTCTGTACCTGTTGTTAAAGTGAGATAATTGTCTTAACAGTTCCAGTGATACGGTCTCCTGCTTTCAGAAGGTCTAAGTTGCTGCTTGCACAAGTTTGCTTTGTGTTTTGGTTCTTGGTACTCTGGCCTGAAAACCCTGCTCTGTCATGCACAGTTAGTATGTGAATGCTTGGGATGTGGGTGTGGTGGTTTTCATTATGTTTAGTCTCATTCTTTCACTGCTGCTGACATAATTGTTACAGTTGGACATATCAAGAACCATCTTCCAAGGAGATACAAGAACTCTTGTCATCTGTTAGAATCTGAAGCTTTTGTGCTGAAATGGTTAAGAGTATCAGGAGAGAGGGTGGAATGGGACATAAAGGAAAAATGAAAGGTGATATTCATGGGATGGAACAGATGAGATTGCACAAATGTAGATGATCAAGATTTCACAGTTCTTTGGGAGGAATACAGGTATTCCTGGTGCAGCCTGAAGTGTCCTATAAGGCAATGAGTGGGATGATGGGTCTGGATATTGTTGGGGTGCTTTCTTGCAGTGTACAGCTAATACAACATCATGCCGTGACTCATCTGCAGCAGTGCATGTTCCCCAGGTCTCTCTAAACTAATGTATCATTGTGGTTTTGGCAGCTATATATTACTGTATTACTGCTTCTGTGTTCCCTTTAAAACTTCCTAGTGTGTGTGGCTAGAGTTCTGTTACTTATCACCTCTGACTTCTAGCACAGTGCAAGATACACAACCTCTTTGCGGTGAGTTTTTCCTACCTCAGCTTCCTCAGCATCGACTTCTTATTCCTGTTAGGCAACTTGCTGTTAAGTGGAGTATCTAGCTTTGAGGATGTTGTCTCCGTTACACGATAGACCTCCTCTAATTCTCAAACTGGGAAATGTTTCCCCTGTTTATGGGGGAATTAGAAAGAACTAGTATGTGTTTTCCTGTTATAACTGCTTCCTGTATCACTGCCGTTAGAGCTTGATCTGACAAGTGTGTACTGTTTACTTTATCTCACTTAAAATCATCTATTTCACAGTCCATCTAAATTAAATTGATTTTTTTTTTTTCCTTTTAGTGTTTTTCTTTCACAGTCACAGACCTGGCAACTGAAAGTTGGGAGCAGGTCTGAGAGCCTAAACAAATCCTACATGCACAGTATCTTCAAAGACACTTGTAGAGAGATTACATAGGTAAATGTAAGCATGCATACATGTTTAGGGTTAATTCTAGTGGCAAAGCAATGGGCTGCATGCTCTAGTGGTTGTGCAATAGGGTTTAGTTCTGGCAATGCTGAACTTCATATAATCCAGAAGAATGAGTTTGAAAAGGATTGAACCATGAAAGGTAAATTTCAACTTCATTTCAACCTCGTATCTGGAATGTGTCCCTGTAGTAGATGGTTAAGCAATCAGCAAATGAAGCATAAAGAGCAGTGATGAAGCGAGTTCAACATAGACATACAGGTGATGTAGAGCTTTGCAGGGTGCTCTACTGAGACATTAGTTTCACGTGGTTCTTTGTGCTACAAGTAATAATTTATAGTAGATTTATAAAAGATAGGGGGAGAACAGGCCAGATTTTTATAACCTGAAGAGATTTTTGACCATGTACTCTCAGAGGTAGGAGCAAGATCATGTTTTGATCAGAGCATTTGTAGGAGCACCTGAAAAAGACCTGCTTGTTACCCTAGGTGACTGGGGAATAGTGGAGCAGGGTTAACGTTTACTGCAGGCTTTTGCTGTAATTTGGCTACAGTTTCATTTGCTAGGAAAGATGAAGCTTAGCGGTGAGTTCCTTGTTTTTGAGAAATTGCTGATTAGGGCGAAGTACTCTAAACTTGCCATGGTCAGCCTTTGCTGTGCAACTTTGCATTAAAATGCTTTTAATATACTTTGGGAATGCTTTTTTGACAATTGCAGTGTGGGTGCCTGTGCGTGTGTGATCTGCTATTGCTTTATGTTACTCTACGGAGGCAAGGAAAGCCTAAGTGAGTTAGTTTCTGGCTTCTTGTTGGTAAGAATTTTGAATATAGCAGAATTGATTTTGAACTGTGCTTTGTCTCCAAATACAGAGTGTTAACCTATAATTCTCTTTCTGTCAGGCCTGACGGTATGTTAGGAGACAAGACTGCCATGTGATTATGGAGGCTGGCTGGAGACAGTAGAAGTTCATTAAAGAGATAAGAGGCATAAATTGGTTTTGGTGGTTTTCTTCATTGATGGGAGCAAATAAAGTACTTCTTTCTCTTTTTTTTTTTTTCCCCTGCCTAACAGAGCTGAGTGTAATTTCTATTTCTGTCTTCATTGCCTACTTGGGTTATGTTCGTGTAAGCCTGGTAAGTGTTTCCGTGACTCCCAGGTGTAAAAACAGGTCCTGTCACTGAGGAAACAAGTAAAAACGCATGTAGATATTTTTCATCTCTTCGAGAGTCCTGTCCCATCCTTGGAGTGTATCTGTTGCTGTCTTAGATAGTCTGTGCTTTTCATTTATGCCTTTTTCCTCTTTTTTTTTTTTTTTTTCTTTTTATGGTACAGCATTGTCTCCCCAGGCCTGGTTGGCATGAGCAAGTTCAGACGTACCCTTCTGATTTCTTTCTATAAAAATGTTTTACAGTTTTACCGTAGTCACCCAAAAAAACCCCCAGGATATGGTAATGTATGAAGTAGTTTAGATTTGTAACTTTTTCAGCTGAAGACGGTTTACATGCAAAAGCCCTGCACCTTCCGGGCTGAGGCTCGGTGCTGCGTGGGTAGGAGCCCGCAGGCGGCAGCCTTGGCTAATGAGCGCTGGGCTGGGGCACTGCTGCTCACTGCCCTGCTTGGGGAGCGCTCCGGCTCCCTGTCAGTCAGGGGGGCGCTTAGCCTCTTCGTTACTGTTGAGCTGTATTACTGATTTAATTCAGGGATACGGGATTATTAGTGAAATGGGAAGTGCAGTCATGTGCATTTAGTTAAATCGGCTTCAATTTAAATTATTTGCTATCATTCTGATCTTATGTCCATTTAGTTGGCGAATTTGCTATTGGATATTAGGAAGGTCTGTGTTTCGTACTTCTGTTTTGTCTGAGAGTTACCACTTTCTAGCTTAAGTTAGGTTTTGTGTTGGACTCATTAGTTCCCCTTCCAAAGAGTCTGTGTTATGGGTTTGAGATTCATAAAGTATAATTGCTAAATTCACTTTTTTGAGGAACTAATCCACGTAGAAGCCCCTTTCTGCTTCATGTTGGTCTGGGGAGGTTGGTTTAATTTATATGAGGACTTCTCTTTGAAACATTAATTGAGGATTATTTTGCTTATAACGATCAATATGCCCCCTCTGCTTATCTTCATTTAGGAATGATTTTAAATTTTTGTTTTATTTTAATAATCCTATGTGGACTGTCTTACAGTGAGTATTACACCAAGACATTGAAAATTGTAAGGACTGCTGAACAGATGCTATCTGTTGAAATGCATGACTACAGCATAAGGAAAACCATGAGTTTACCTAATAGTGTAAAGGCAGATGGTGTTCAGGTTGGACATCAGTATTTAATTGTTACAGCTTTTTGAGTCAGGTAGATGGTAACTATTGTCATTAGTGCAGTGCTATCCTAAGTTTCCAAAACTAGGTTTTCCATTTGTTCAAGCAAATTCTAAACAATGTACAGATCTGATTTAATGTGTTTTTTGAGAGAAAGTGCCACTTGCTGTTAACTAACATCCTAAGTTGAATGTGGGTGAGACCTAGCTACATATTTAGCTTGTGAATTTTGTATGGTTAACTTAGGGTTTGTGCAAATACTTTTTTTTTTTTGTATTTGCCATTGGTGAGCATATATAATTTTCTTGAGCTTATCTTCAGGAACTTCTGGGTTGTATAAATTTTTCATTTTTTCAGCTAAATATTTTTTAAATTTAGTTCTGTAAAATCTTTTATTGTGAATGATGTTTAAAATAGTGGAGATAAGCAAGTTGTCAAAGGGCAATCTGTCCCTTGTACATGTTGGGAGCAGTAGAGCTGAGCACTGGGAAGCATTTGAGTTTGCAGGGAAGGAGCTCCGTGTTAGTGGAATGGCATCGTGCTGCAGTCTGAAGCAAAGCTGGAGCAGACTCCCGTGCTATTTGTATCTTCCTGGTGGCGAATATGGAATAACCATTGGATCTTTGGTCCTTCTGCTCTTCTCTGTGGCATTGCTGCACTCAAAAGCCTATTTTGAAATTAAGCAAGTTGTGCACCGGCTCTTGATGTTTCACAGAAACAGTAATTATTTGGTCTTGGCAACACTATAGGCAGAGATACCTTTCACCCTAAGAGAAGTGATAAGCTGCTCTGCATCTCAGAGGTGCAGAGAAGCGGCTTTATTGCATCATAAAACTGTGTTTTAGAATGTTTCATATTGTCATAACTTACTTCTGCAGTGCTTAGGAAATTTCAACCTCATCCTAGCCAGTTTCTGTGATTTTTATGCTCATTTCAAACACTTGCGGAAAGTGGGATAGATGCTGTGACCAAACAGCCTAGCCCCCATGGGGACCTTAAGTTGGCTTGGCTGGTGCCGTCTTTACAACAGTCATGCTTAGCTGGGGTACGATGTGTCTGCAGAAATGCACGTCCCTGAAGCTTGTATGCACTTCGGTGAATCGTGTAGCATTTGTGTGCTACCAGTTGGAGATAACACCTTAAGTGTCGGGGCTGAGGAAGAGGCTTCATCTGTTTAAGCGGAAGACATTAGCGTTTGTCCTGTGTGTCAAATCCCTGGCTTTGGAATTTGCTTACAGAAAGAAACTAAGCAGAAAAGCAGAAACTTTGTCTTGGATGACTATAAATAGGCTTTGAGTTAATCGTGCCAAAACTGAATTGCTGTTGATTGGTACAAGACACTGGTGTATAGAGAAGTGAGTTTTCTGGCTTGCAATTTAATGGAAGACAGATCACTTGGCTGCTGATTTTATTAGGCGTTTTAGACCCTCAGCTTTTGTTGGCCAGGCTTTAAGGGTAAAAGTGTGCTTGTTTGTAATTGATTCCCTAAATGATAGTTTACTTTTGGAATTCTGTTGTTTGTTTATGAGTTGGCATTTTTCTGTTTGTCTTTATCATGCTTTGAAAAAGTCAGTTACCATTGGTAAATGTTAATCTTCCTTTGTGAATGTAAAGATGTAGACGGTCAGATGATGGTAAATTTGAACATCCAGTATTTGTTTAACTAGAAGTTTGAGTCTTATGATCGGTGGTGTGAAAGGAGAATATTAACTAGAGTACGCTTTAGAAGTCTACTAACTAGAAAATAAAAAAATTAAGAAGTTTAAGTCTGAGACAGTCACATCGATATATTCTCAACAGTTCCAAATATTCTTTGTAACATTACAGCAGAATAGGAAAAACCCTAACAGAATTTTTCATTAAAGGAGAAAAATGTCATTGTTTAAGTTTTTTTTTTTAAAACCAAACAAAAAAAACCCCAAACCCAGGGAACTTATGGGAGGAAAGAGGAGCTTCTCCACAAACTATTTTGCTGTGACACTTGTGTCTTTCTGAAAAGAGAAGAGAAAAAAAAAAAAGCTTGTTGGAAAACTAATGTGTTTTCTAAATTGTCTTTGGTCTATCCACGGTTTTCCAAATACAGAGCAGAGCAGGAAAACCAGCATTTTCTTCTGTAGGTGGCCGACAGTTCATTTACAGCCGTAGCTTTTCAGTGCTGTCAGTGGTTCCTCACTTTACTGAGGCAGAAGTTTATTTAAATGGAGGGGACTGTGAGCTTCACCTCTGCTGTTCAGTGAGTTGGGGAGAAATGCTCATAGCTTAACAGCACCGCAGTGTGAGCTGCTCACCTGCTGGCAGGCGGTCAGGCATCGGGTACACGGAGAGGAGTTTATTTCTGGGGTGTAAACTGATGCAGAGAAGGACTGGGAGAGGAATTTTAAGTAAGATTGTTTTCCCTGACCACCTGTAGGGAGTAGGTTGTAAGTTTGTGTTCGTGACTGGCAGAGCCTCCTCTTAGACTGCTGCAGTCCGTTGTAGATCATAGGCCAAAAGGCACCTGCCTGGTTGAGCTTTCCTTCCCAGAGCTGGTCGTTCACCGACATTTGTTTTAGCTGGTTGTCGAAAGCATCCAATGATGGAGAATTCATAACCCCTTTTGGGTGATTAACTACATTTCTGGTTGAAAAGTGTTTCCGAATGTGTGACCTAAATCTTTCAGCACAGTTCAAGCCTATAGCTGCCTGTGTTTTCTTTAGTGGGTATGGAGAACATCTGATTCTTTTCTTCTTCATAGCAACCTTTCACATACTTGAATGCTGTTACCACTTTTCCCCATAGGCGTCTTGTGTCTACGCTAAATAGACCTAATTCCTAAAAGCTTTTCTCATAGGTCATGTTCTCTGGATCTCTGACCTTTCCTGTTCCTCTCTTCTGGACGTTACCCAGTTTATTTGCATCAATCTTCAAGTGCATTAGTCTGTTTATCTAGCATGTACAATTCTGATAAATGGGTTGTAGGTGGATTTTTGATGCCTTATTCAAAATATGCTTTATGAAACCTTCAAATTTAGGTCCCAGGACAGCTGAAATCTGGATCAAAGTCTATTAGAGAACAACTCTGTCATAATTGACATAATTTTTTTTTAAAGTAAAATGGGAAATACCAAAATACACTTATGTAGAAAAATATTTATGGGAGATGGTTTTAGAACAAAACTGTTCAAGATGGGGAAATTGAAATCTTGGTGCTAGCTTGTATACTATCCTGAACAGAATACCTTGCCTCTCTGCATCCATTAATGTATCTGAACTGATTGCTACTAGTTTATAGAGCTTCACAGTTTTTAAGGATTTGCTTTTGTAGCTCATTTAGGGACACTGCTGTTGTTCCTAATGGCAGTATTCTAGTTTTCTTTTTAATAATATAAAATCTGAATTGCTAAGCCAAAGATTGACATCACACTTCTGTTGTTTGCCTTTATTTTTTCTGCTGTAATTTCAAAAATACTCTGGCACCATTTGTTTTATTTTTCGGCCATTTTAGTCTAAAACCAGATTAATTCCTTGGTTTCATTTACTGCAGAGTTGGACAAATCTTTGGAAGTATCTATGCATATGTATTAAGACATTGCAAAAGGAAGAGGGCAGAGCATTAATAGGACTTGAGTGCTCAAGAGAAGGCTCATCTTTCATTTAGCACTAGAGCTCACTTATGCTGAGTTAAAGTATGTGCTTGTGAAACTAGAGCTTTCGTCTTGGAACACTTTATTTTAGTGTTCTGTGCAGTGATTGATTTCTGCATGTGCAACTTGATCTGGTAAAGAATCCATCTTGATGCCAATCTTTTGAGCCTTACAGTATCCTCTTCTTTTCCTCTCCCCTCAGTATGTTAGAAAACTTGAATTTATTGGTGTATGTAACTTCAGATGTTTCAACAATTTGAGTAATGATAAGCAGAGAAATCTCGGCCATTTAAATTTACTGAAGAAAAAACTTTAGAGAAACATTAGATCAAAATTTAATTTTAGTATCAGACTTGCGGTAAGAGCTCTACAGGGCTCCATTATAATAAGAGTTCTGTTAATGCTTGCTTACCTTCACCAGAACATTTTTAGAAAGCTTTTTTGCAGAAGTAATAACCTATGAAAGAAAGGTGTTTTAAACACCTTCTCCCCCTCTTTTATGAGTTTAGGTCAACAGGAAGAGAATTGTAGCAGTTGGTGTAGATTCAATCTGTAAACTTTCAATTTTAGGTTTGCTTATAGCAATTATATGGGTCATTTCTCTGGTTTCTTTGAATTTACTTAAATGAGTAAGGACTTTACAAACTATTTAATGTGTAAAACTTAGTATTGTAGTAACTGCTGTACTGTAGGTCGCTGCTAGATGGCACTGTGTAACTGTGCTTTGAGCAAAATTATTATTGAAAC